TTTTGAAGTAACCTTTTATTGTGAAAGAAATAAAATTAAAACAATTGAGAATGCAAATACAATACAATGGAAAAAAGAAATAACTTTACCAATTGACTCAAGTGGTAAGCAGCTTGATGTCGCTTAAGCAATGTCTCGAATTTGAGTCTTTGCGGATGGTGTTTTTGTTGGGAGAATTACCCACCACTGTCAGGTGTGTGAACCGGGTCGACCAATGGATTAGTCGGATGGCCGTGCGTCGCAACGCGAAAAAATTAGAATTTATATTTTTTCTAATTTAACCTCTACTAACTAGTAGTAGGTGCAAGTAAGGATCAATCTCACGAGGAGTGTGAATCAAATTGTGATATTGTTGTATTAATTGAAATTATTATAAAAAGCGATAAAGATGGGGGGAGGGGGGAAGATTTATTTAATAGCTAAACTAACTAAAATAAATAAATTCTAATCAAATAAAATATAAATAAATAAATTAAGAAAAAGCTTCTAGTTCACGGTTCCGTCTACACTCTCGACTGACTCGTCTAATCAACTTTGGTATCAAATCTCGCTTTCTTATGAAATTACTAGTCCTAGGTAACGACATGGTCTGTTATCCGAATTTTTCCTTATTTTTTAATCTAACCGCGAGACGCTTTACGATTAGACCTGACTTCATGTACAGTCCAAAAAAATGTTTTCAAGATTTAATACAATTAGTCACTTTACGAATTAGAAAAATAGGCTAGATTAATTAGTGAACTCAACCACATTCGTTCACTTAATCAGACCGTGTTATCTCCGGTAGTAACCGTCTTCTGATAGTCTCTTATGAATTAAACACAACAACAATTACGGATTCAAGGTTTAATTCAGCTATAGATATGAAAAGTCTAATCTAGGTGATCAATTTAAACAAGACTAAACACATCATGGTTAATTATTCAAAATAACACGCACAATTCTAAGAAGATATTAAAATCATCAACCATATAATCAATCAAAACATAGTCAATCGTAGGGTTCGACTTCACCGGAACTAGAATAAAAACCTACTCTAATATAATAAATAATAAAAGAAAAAAAAATAGAATTATCCCTTTTTCGTGTGCAGGTGCGGCCTCCCTCCGCGTTTCGTCGGCTCCCTCATCTGTCTTATCCCTGCGGCTCTTTTCTGTTCTGCGTGAATATTCTTTTTTTTTTGCTCTCTGTTGCGTGGCGGCTATAAAACTAATTCTCTCTTTTT